AGCCTGATTTCATGGTTTTAAAACGATGCCATGATCTGATCAGCCTCTGTTTACACAGCAGCAATCAGGCTCTTTTGTGGACGGTAAGAATGGAAGGATTTTGCTGGGATTCAGTGGGAATATCCTTTGTACACCCGAGGTGGCATAGGAAACACTTCGTGTGAATAACGAAGGAGCCTGATCATGCCTGCTGTGGCTCCTGTCCCTGGCTCTGGAGGGAGGAAAAAAAAAAACCAACCAAAAAACAACAAAACCCCCCAGCAGCAGCAGACAGTTCTTTAATTTATTTTATTTTATTGCATGAAATGTGTTCCGGTATGATTCACTGGGAGGATTAGCGGGAATCGTGGAGCCCTAATTAGCTAAAAAAAATCAATTTATTATATGTTTATTTAAGCATAACGAAAGCCAGCCCTCCCAAAAGGATGGGCATTATATCTTGGGTGTGTTGCCTATTTTTGCTCAGTATTTACACTGACCGTTGCTTTTTATGAATTATGTTGAGGCTTTAAAGATTTGCATTAAAGCTGGGGGGGGGGGAGAGACCCTAAAGCATAGTGCTGTTGACTGTCTGGCATACATACCTGTTTATTTGAAAGCCTAAATGATAAAATTACGGTTTATAGGAGGAAGGGAGGGGGATAATGAATACTGTTTCTCTTACAATGTGCATGAACTAACACGGTGTGATTAATGTGCTTTGGTGACTTGGGTTAAAAAACATAAATTCTGCGGGGTTTCTTTGGGTGTGATCCGTATCAACACAGCAGCTGCCTTTAAAACATTGACAAATACTGTAGCCGTAAAATAAATGTAGGTAATGTCAAAATATCAGCAGTCTTTGGGGATTTTTTAAAAAGATGTCAGTGATTAACTCTTGGGCTTGCAAACTGGGTATCTTTTGATTCATAAAATCTCTGAGGCTTTAACTGTAAAATTATGTATGCTACCGAATATAAGGGGCACCGGTCAGTTCTGAAACTGTAACAAGCCAAATCTGTGAAATGCCAATAATCAATCATGCTAAACAGTAAGTATAAAAAAAAAAAAAGCCTCATGATTTTTAAAAACAAACAATAGTACTCAAATTTACAACTTCATTTGGTTCTCCATAAATTAACATCTTTGTTAGCACTTTCTGACATCATTTCTTGTTAACTTAAGAACTGATAGCTCGATTTTTTTTCAGATATTTTGATGGCATGACAAATCAGAAAGAAGAGGATGTACTGTATGACTAGACACAAGATCAGTTCTGTTTGTGGATTACATTTTCAGTAAGATGTATGGATCTATTTTTTCCTTGTTCTTATATATAGATCATGAGACTTGACTGAGGCAATATACATATCATCCATCCATCTATGGCGAACTACAGCCATGCAGCTGACAACATTTTACAAAATCTCTCTCCTTTAACAGCCTTTCTGAAACTGACTTCACTGGGTTTCATAATAGGAGTCAGTGTGGTGGGTAACCTTCTGATCTCCATTTTGCTAGTCAAAGATAAGACCTTGCATAGAGCTCCTTACTACTTCCTGTTGGATCTTTGCTGCTCAGATATCCTCAGATCTGCAATTTGTTTCCCATTTGTTTTCACCTCTGTAAAAAATGGCTCTACTTGGACGTATGGGACTCTTACTTGCAAAGTGATTGCCTTTTTGGGGGTTTTGTCCTGCTTTCACACTGCTTTCATGTTATTCTGCATAAGCGTCACCAGATACTTAGCTATTGCCCACCACCGTTTTTATACGAAAAGGCTGACCTTCTGGACTTGTTTGGCCGTTATCTGTATGGTGTGGACCCTCTCTGTAGCCATGGCTTTCCCCCCAGTTTTAGATGTGGGCACCTACTCGTTCATTAGGGAGGAAGACCAATGCACTTTCCAGCATCGTTCCTTCAGGGCTAATGATTCCTTGGGATTTATGCTTCTTCTTGCCCTTATCCTCCTAGCCACACAGCTTGTCTACCTCAAGCTGATATTTTTTGTTCACGATCGCAGGAAAATGAAGCCAGTCCAGTTTGTTGCAGCAGTGAGCCAGAACTGGACTTTTCATGGTCCTGGAGCGAGTGGTCAAGCAGCTGCTAATTGGCTGGCTGGATTTGGAAGGGGTCCCACACCTCCAACCTTGTTGGGAATCAGGCAAAACGCGAACACCACAGGCAGGAGAAGGCTACTGGTTTTAGATGAGTTCAAAATGGAGAAGAGAATCAGCAGAATGTTCTACATCATGACATTCCTCTTTCTGACCTTGTGGGGTCCCTATTTGGTAGCCTGTTACTGGAGAGTTTTTGCAAGAGGGCCTGTAGTACCAGGGGGATTTCTAACGGCCGCTGTCTGGATGAGTTTTGCCCAAGCTGGAATCAATCCTTTTGTCTGCATTTTCTCCAACAGGGAGCTGAGGCGCTGTTTCAGCACAACCCTTCTTTACTGCAGAAAATCCAGGTTACCAAGGGAACCTTACTGTGTTATATGAGGGAGCATCTGTAAATCTTTAGCCTTGTGAAACACTACCATTCTCTGCTAAGCAATTGTGGCCTGTAGCCATGTCTTGACGAGAAAATCAAGAATGGGATGTCAGCAGTTGTAAGGATTTGGGCAACATTCTGCAGTCTTTGCAATAGCTCACCTCTAATCCTATTTTAAACCTAAACATGTTCCTGCTGACCACTGCTGAAGGTTTGTAATTAAGAACAAAGGACTGAACTACTGCCCTGAATTCCTTTATGTGGTTGAAATCTAGATTATGAAAGTAGCAGGTGCTAAGTATCAGTGCTAAATGCTGTGTATATCACTACATAAAATAAGACCATCAAAAAGATTAGCATTGGACATCTTAATAAATTAAGTTGATATGAGGTTAATGTGTTGACAAAACTAATTTTAGACATCTGAAGACCTTTAAAACATTTCATACAATTATTGTTTTGCAAAGACTGAAAACTGGGGACTCAAGTACTGTAACTGATTAAAGATGTGCCATGCATTATTGGATTATCACACTTACAAATCTGTTTGCCTTGTGAGTAAGTTTTGGGGAGCATTCCAAAGCAGTATTTTTGTTCAGATTTAGACTTTACTTTTTTTTTCCAAATATATTACTCTTTCTAAATACCATTTTCCTTAACAGTGAAATTACTAACATTTAACTGTATTCTGTGGTTTTTGCTGATTTGGTATAAAGTTTAATAGACTCTTATTTATATTTTTTAAAAAGCTAGATATCAGTCTGTTAGGCAACGATAATGATAATATCCAGTCATAATTGAACAGTTATAATTATACAGAATAAACACATGTTGCCTTAAAGGGTTATCTAGTATCTTCCATTTTGTTTAGCATTGAAGCAAATAAGCAAGGAAAATTGAATAAATAACTCTGGTCAGTCATTTGGGAGTGCATGAAAGATCACTCAGTCCTCTTTTTTTCTTTTTACTCCAATGGTTCCCAAAATCAGTATGCACATCACTGGGATGATATGATTTTTTTCTAGGTGTGCCGCCCTTTCTAGTTTGTTCTGAGAAACACAGGCAGTTGATGTATGTTTATATTTTAAGACAGCTGTCATGGGGAGACCGCAGCCTTAGTATGATATCTTGCACAATTTGTGAAGCATTTATTCTACTGAAGGCACAGTCTTGTTTATATTTTCTGCACATTTTGGTGTATTGGTTGTTTTAAATTATTTAAGTTTTAACTTGTGAAAGCATATAATATGATTTCTTAGTATTTTAGAAATACATTAGAGTCTGTGAGTCTTTCCTTCTTTAAGATACAGATGTGTGGATTTCAATATAAAGTTGCATTTGCCAAAATTTACCTGTGTAGCTTGTTAATTTTCTTGGAATAAAATTTTACATTTTTCCAGTTATACAATTAACCTTTTTTATTTTGTCTAGTGAGCTAGCATGAAGTACTGAGAATGTAGCCATTATGAATTATTATCCTTTGCAGTCACTGTATTCCCAAACTGTAAATGCATGAATGATGGGGACCACAGGATTGATAAATGATATTATCTACAGTAGCACTATTGTGTAGTTTATCATAATTACCCATCTATCTGTTCTAATATGTCAGTTATATTTAAAGTTACAACACAGTATTTGACATTAACTTCACAGTTTAATTTTGGAAAATGTGTATATTTGAAGCACAACATCATGAGTTGGTCAATCATAAAGAACACGTATTTTTCTTAATTTTTGGAGAGACAAGACTAGAGGTCTTAATTCAGTATTGGTATATCTTCTCCTTTGTTGTAGTTTTATGACCAGCAAGTTAATATATACATACACAAGCAGCAGTCAATAATGGAAATGCTTAAATTTGTATGATAACATTATACAACATATGCAACAATTCAGAGAGTTGTGTCTATATGTGATCAGACAACTTGATCAAAGATTTGGTGAGCAATCTGCTTGACCTCACTTACACTCTTATACTGAGGTTGATTGGTTGAGAGGCATGGCTTTATATACTGTGTTGAAACAGAAAAATTGCTAAAATAATGAGTCCTCATCAGTACAAGAATGTTTCAGAACGTAATTTGAAACGGGACCAATAAACTTCTACCAAAAGGACTTTTTTATTACACTGAAAAAGGCTTGGAAATTAAGGTAGTTAAGCAATTGTCAAAGATAGCAAGAGTGAATAAAAACTGACTCGTATGTTGAGAAAAATTCTGAAAGTTATCCCACTTAAGTTTATTAAAAGGTTGATTGGCAATAACTTCAGTCTAATTTCTATAAAATAGTAACCTTTACAAGGAACATTGATATTACATATTGTAATAAAGAAGTACATATAAATAAAGTTGTAAATAGTGTTATAGTTGTAGAAGCAGTCGGTTCTGAAGATTAGCCAGAAAATTTTCAACTGTGAAATTTCAAAAGCTGCAAATCTGGGGCCTGACCTAACTCCTAATAAAGTCAGTTGGTGTTTTCCCATTAACTTCATTTGGAGCAGAAGCAGGCCCTAACATTTCTATAGTACTATGCTTCTGAAATACTAAGAAGGCTGTATTTACTATGCAGTGGGAAAAGAAAAAAAAAATTAAAATTATTTCCCTGGAAGTTTTGCAAGCAGTTACTGATGTAAATTAAAATAATAAACAGTAAACAAGTCTGAAAGCAAATATTTTGCTAAATGTTTTTCTTTTGATATGAATATAATTCCTTTGGCTAGCTGAAAAATATGCAACTGTTTTACTACCTGACAGAGGAGAGGTACTTTTTTTTAAGTGAATTTTTATAATTGTTCCACTAAGAACTCTTGTGATAGAAGTATTTCCTTTTATTTTCTCCAGTGTTAAAAGAACAAGGGGATGTTCAGTGAAATTAAAAGGCAACATATGAAGTAATGTTTTATGTAAAGTTATTACTCAGTGGAACTCACTGGCACAGGATGTCAAGTAGTTTATAGAGATGTATACATGAATTAAAGCAGTGCTTGCAGTTTTTGTCATCGGTATCATTTTGATCTTTGTCAGCATATCAAACCTAATGTATCAGAGTATAAATTCAAAGGAGGAAGAAGGTTTATTCCAATTCAGTACACTGTTGTGTCACAGTATGAAAAGCCTTTTGCTCTTCATTTTAGTACGGGAGTTAAGCTGTTGCCAAAGCTAGAATATAGGGCTGGTAGGTTACTCTTTTCAGAACAGCAAAGAACATCACACTATTTTATATCTGCATTGATCTTTAATGCTCATGGGTAACGTGAAGTTAGTAGTTTTAATTTCCCTGGTGGCAGAAAAAAAGAGTAAGAACAGATTCCCTGGAGAAAAGGCTGTCTGTCTCTGTTCCTTTCCTGCTCTCTGTTTCCCCACTGGCCCTTTGGCAGCCTCTCCATCAATCCTTCTTCAAGTTTAAATGTTTCATATACTGAGTCTTATATTTCTCCTGCTCCTTAAGAAGTGTCTCAGCCACCCCTCCTCCCCAGTAGAATAGCTCCTGCAGCAGCTTCCCAAGGTTTGTCAGTGACTGGGTTCCCTTCCTGAAGACAGAGAGAGACCGCTAGTTCCTTCCAGCTGCCTTTGTAGTTCATGGAGTCGTCATTCCATGCTGCGTGGCTAGCGCACTGGGTATCTCTGTCTTTTGGCTTTGGTCACGAAGTAGATGCTATGTAGGTTATGCAGAGAAAAATGAGAATGGGGAGGTGGCAGCAGGAAGCAACTTCCTCTCTCCCAGTTCCTTTATAAAGAAACCACTGTTATTGTTGCATTGCCCAAGAACATAGGATTTTTTTTTAAAGCATATTCAGTGCTAATAAGCCTCTAAATGAATAAAATGTACAGTTAGCCAATTAATGCAAGGTTTTTGGTACAGCTACAAAATCTTGTTATAAAATGGCTTTCCGTCAGTCTCTAGGCCTTGGGGGCAGAGGAGTCTACTGTATCTATCTACTTTTAAGCGCATTAAGTTTGTTCGCTTGTATTGTCTTTGCTTTGCCTTTCAAGCATCTGAACATTTTACTTATATTAATAGGAGTCCAGAATTGCAGCAAGCTGTTATTACTCATGGGTTTAAAAAATAATATAAAAGGGAACTCTCATGATTTTTGAGGTGAGTTAGAGAGGTATTTTGACAAACAATTGTTTTTTAGCAAATGCCGAATAGAACTGTAGGTTGCTGGGCTCTTTCATAGTTACACAGTCAGCTCTCAATTCTTGAAAATAGAAATGGAGTAGACTAACCCGTGTAAAGCTAAAACATAGGTAATACAAAGCATATGCACGTTAGATAAGAACTTCCTGTGTTCATTACATTTATCGAGGAATGTAGTTAAGCTGAAGTAAAAAGTGAGATCAGAAATTCAAAGAAAAATGGTGGGTGTTTTTCCTTTTTTTTCTGCTTTGTTTTAGCATAGCACTGCTAATCTGCAACCTGGGTTACACACCCACAGACAACTGAGAGTTGACTGTACAATTCTGCATACCACATAGACAACTTTCTTCTAGTTTATATTCATTGAGAGTTGTATAAGTCCACACTACTAATCTGATTGCCTTTTCAGAGAAAAGAGAAAGCTCAGTTTGAGATACTGTTTTTCAAAACTAAAATTCAATATATGTTCTCTGCTTTTGTTTACTGAAGTGATTTTGGTGTGAAGAAGTCAGTGATCTACATCAGTAATGATCATAAGCACTCTTTGGCCATGACCATTAACAACAGGACAAGATGACATTTTGCAATGCATATGCCAGCAACAAATCAAAGAGTTTGATATTATACACCATGACTTTCCTTGAGTGGCCTGAAAATAGCTTATGGTTTGTATTTAGAAAAAAAAGATGAAGCTGTCCATTTAAATGGATAAAGTCTTTAACTAGCCAGCGTGGAAAAAGAAGGGTGAATTTTAAAGATTGCTCATTATACACAGTGAAGAGTTTTTGTGGTGTTTTTGGTTCAGCTGAACTGTGTAATTACCTAAGTATATGATGATCAAAGGAGTGACACAGTAAATAAGTTAGATTTTTTAATAGTCTAAAAAGGAAATAAGTAACATCAGTCTTCAGCGCTTTGAAATAAAATAATTGCAGTCATCCATATGTTTCATAAAATTCAGATAACAAAAAAATTATTGACATTTTCAGTACTCAGTGATTTTATGTACTTGATGCATTTAAAGAGCAATGTCTTTAAACAGTGAGTTGGCTGATGCAGCCCAGTGAGAGACTTATTTTTCGCATCACAGTTTTTGTACTATGCTTTGTATTTAATAAGCACAAGAAATATAAAAACAGAATTCATCTGATGTAATCTTCAACAAACTCTGCATTAGCTACAGCAAAACTTCTCCAAATATTAGGCAAATTACTGTCTCCAGAGATTATTCAAAATTACCACTGCGCTAATCCATGAAAAGTCTACTGCACCTTTGTTAAAGAGGTATCTAGTTAGAGAGGTGTATTTTTTTTCATCCTTTCATTGGTTGGCCAAGACAAGTTCTGCTCTAATGTAGAGTTAAAATCCCAAGTATGAAATGATTCATTTGAATTTCAGTGATGCTACCTATATGTGACATCGCTGTAGTCATATTTTAAATAAACCCACAAAGTTTATGGTTGAAGAATGTAAATAATCAACTTATGATGCAAACCCCCCCAGAAACAATAACATGCTTTCCGTTAATTCTTTCTCTTATTTCCATGGAATGTTAAAGTTTCAATTTTAGGAATGCAAAGGCAAACTGTGAAAAACAAGTATGTCGGAGAGGAGAGAAAGAATAGCCAGAAATACATCCAGTAAGGTAATCTTTGCAATGAAGAAGGTTGTCATATATGCATTGCATTTTCTGCATCTATCAGCTTGCCTACTTTTTGCCAGTGTGTATATGTGGTATAGATAAATTTCTCATGCCACCATTAACTACAGCATTTCCTGAGCCCTTTTATTTTCATTCTATAACCATCAAGCTCAGTCATGCTAACATCCTTATGCAAATTGAAGAAATTGCTAAAAATAAAAAGTTTTACACTAAATAATCTTGGCGGATCAGGTCTTTGAGATGGTTTAAGAGGGTGGCACAGATATTTGATGACTACTCTAGGCAGCAGGTTGGAGGATACAACTGTTTTCACCCTTGTTTATGAGCCAGTTAAAATCCCACTGTTGTCCCATGGAACTGGCCCATTACAGGCCAGTGACCCACTTCATGTTGAGTTTAAGGAGGACTTTGGTTGTGCATATTCTGGGTACTAATGGGTGAAATTCAGCAGTTGAGCAGAGATAAGAAATGCCTAGACAACATTCATAGGCTACAGACAGGCGATACGTGCTTGTCTTCTCAAAAGAGAAGAAGTAACAGAAGAAGCAGAGGCCCAGAGGTAAATGTTTTTGTGAGCTGGTCGGTATTTCATGCC